ATTTTCCCAGCAGCGAGGTCGTGGTGTACGGGAGCCATCATGTTCTTATGCCTTATAACGTGGATGCTCTTGGCGTGTATGCGGGTACGTACACGTGCGCATGTGTGCGCGTACTCACACACATGCGCGCACGCGCGCCCACATCACCCCTCCCACCCCCCCCTGCACATACACACTCGTGCGCGCGCGCGCACACACACACACACTTTTGCATGTTCTTATGCCTTATAACGTGGATGCTCTTGGCGCGTATGCAGGTACGTACACATGCTCATGCGCACGCACGCGCACACACACACATACATACACACATGCGCACGCGCATGCACACACACTCACATGCTCACATGCGTGCGCCCACATGCGCGCACATGTGCTTTGAGTAATCCAAACCAGCCAGGCGTATTCCTCTTACAACGGGTCACTGTATGACTTCGGACGATGCCCTGATATCCCCCTCCTTGGTTCTCCCATTCTCCTGCACGAGCCACTGCGTCCATCTTCCACCTGCTTGCCTCCATTGGCCTGGCTCTCACTGCTCTCGTGCTCTTGTAGCCGCACTCCTATCATTTCAACTGCAGCATGTTATCGTGACATGTCATGCTATTCGAATATAGAATAGGTGACGCACAGGGTAGTCCAGGGCCCAACCCTTTGCTTATGCCTCATGTCAAACACGTACATGGCATGGCTGCTTTGCATTGGGTTCCTTGGGAGATGTGAGAGTCAATGCCTTAGGTGGTTAGAGAAAGAAACAGAGTAGACAATGCATTGCATTGTAGTACATAATAGAGTAAATCGACATACATGCTAAATTTTCCTCGCCAATGCATTCACCATGCACAATAGAGGGATTCTGGAGTAAAAAACATCACACTACATAGTGGTGGTTCTGCACTTCACTGTTTGGAAGCAGTGCAACGTAAAACAAATACCATATATGTTTTCTCACCTTCCCCTTTGCATGTCTGCTCTAACAACCAGGTAAGCACATTCAAACCACCTCCCACCTGAAGCCGCTCCGCCAACCTTTCAATCCAAACCTACTCCATAAACATACCTTCGAACACTTCTTGTTTCCCTTATGCTCCTCCGACACCGTTTTCCACCTCAGGACCCTGTCGCAAATCACAACGATTTATAGTGCAGTAGTTGGTGTCGTGTGCCTAGTCGCACATCATATTTGCATGAAGCATATCATATTTGCATATCATATTTGCATGAAGCATATCAATTATGATCCATGAAGCATATAATATTTGCATTCCCTCTGATTTCGGAAGTATGTTGACATATTTATATTAGTGTTCTTTGCTCGAGATGCATTGTGGCTTGCTTGGAATGCATATAATTTGAATGTAAGGTATGTATTTTTTTTTGTCTTCATGCCAAGTCCGCCTATATAACAGCAACATCATGCTCCCTTCGCAAATGGAGTAATTCTTTGTGGTCTAGGCTGTCAACGGAATTTCTAACGGTGGCCGAAACAGAATGCCAACACCACCATTTATGCTGATGTGGATGTCTTGCTCCTCCTGACTACGTGCGCTCACCACCAGGCTCTGTTCGAGTCAACGTAACTGGAGCGGCTCACGTGTGCGCTCGGCACGGCAACCACCTTCAGAAATATTGTTATCAGGGCGTGTTTTATGGCCTCAGATCAGGCAACCTCATATCAGACTCGCACAAACCACTTCAATCTCGGTTACGTTTGAGTTTTTATTTGTTTTTCCTGGTTTGATGCTCGAAAAAGAGCGATGGGTGATTTTCGTTCGAGTCAAACGAGATTGCCTGACGTGGCAGGCACGACACGCGACAAAGATTGCGCGTGGCATGCTGCATTTCTTTTGTCGCGCAATACAAGTCCTATAGTTGAGTTTAATAACGAAATTCTCGAGTATTTACAATCTTGTTACGAGGTGGTCCTGATATGAGGCCGTGGGAACACGCCCTCACTGCTGGCAACATGCCAGCGAGGCCTGGCGCCAACGGGGAGCGGAAAAGAAGTCTTTCATTTTCTTGATTGATCCCTGGGGCGATTCGTGATTTGGAAATTCGTCCAGGGACATTCTGGCACCGCATCGCGTAAAATTATGGTTGTGCATCAAGAACCACCTCCATCCTTTTTGGTCGCTTCAATCAAGTATCCACTTGCTCTGGAGGACATGATATCGTTGCTGAACATATAAGCTCGCCGTTCTCTCAACTCTTATCATCAGATTGCCACCGCACCTCATATTCCCTGCAATCATCATACCTTCCTTACTCGAAACACTTTGACTCGTACAACCATTTTTTTTTTCTAAATAGTAAGGCTAACTATTACTACGATGGCCGGACTCTTGGCGAATTTTGTCGTCCCGACTTTGCTGCTCGTGGTGTTACTCTCTCAGCTGATGACCACCCGCGCAGTTTCCGTGTCTCTACTGGCGTCAAATTTGAAATCAAGAGGCACGAACGGCACGCTCATGGAGCGCATGTTCGGGCTGGCTGGCACGTCTGAAATCTCCGGCGTCACAATTCTCCTCCCACAGCCCGTGTATGCCTTCGTGTCAGCAGCTGTTAGCTACCCTATGTATGACAACTCGACGCGAAATTTCAACAAAGTGAGATTCGATGCTCTCATGATCATGTCTGCCGCGGAGCTATCCAGCACAAAGTGGCCTATGGACAAGAATATTCATCCTGCTGTTGTGAAAGCGATGATTGACATTTGGAACTTTCAAGTCATCACGCAGTACATCCCGCCCAGCGTTGCAACGGCCAAGGTGAGTCGCACATGCCGCCTGAAATGACAAGTTAAGTCCCGACAGCTGGCGTAAGAATCACGGGTGTAACAAAATAAACTTGACCGTTTGAGCACTTGGTCCACAAATATCATGCACTATTCTAACCGTCTCTGATCCGCACCCATCACTCCCCATACCCTTCAGTACGTATCCGGAGGTCCTTGGGAGCTACCAACCATGCAAGGACAACCCCTATGGATGTCGTACCTTCCTACGCCTTCGGGCGGCATGTCGTACTATTCTACTTCTGGCAGTTGGAACATCTCGGGCATGTCTCCTCAGCAGCATGCGGCCAGCCCACCACCGCCCAGAGATCCCCTCTCCCCGGATATCTGATGCTTGATGGGAGCCCATTGGCGTACACAGAGGAAAATTCTGAGGACCTCTTGGTGGATATTCCTGAAAGCGAGGTTGCGGTGTATATGGGTTCGAGGGTTCTTTTCCCTTACAATATGGATGCTATTGGCGCGTATGCAGGTAAGCTCGCACACTTCTTACACGCTCACATGCTAACTGTTTGCTTTTTCCTTACGATGAGCTGAGATTCCGTTACCATTTTGTTGCAATTACCTGCAGGCAAAACCACTGCTTCCACTCTTCCCATACTTGCCTCTGTTGGCCTTGCTCTCCTTACCCTCATGTTGGTGTAACCTCGCTCCTGATGTTACCACACCTGATATCATGATGCCATGCGTATGGTATGGCCATGTTCTTTCTGATTTGCATATGCATTCTTACGGCTTGTGTGGGTTAGCTAAGGCAGTGGCTGGTGTGAGTTGGGTGATAAGGTATTGGCTTGTGTGGGTTGGGTAGCTAAGGTAGTGTACATGATGCACGGGTGGAGATGTTGAGATGTTGCATGTACCTTAGTGGCTGGCTCTATATAGCTTCTAGACACCAGCTCTGCTTGTTATCCATGCTACGGTACGCAGTATTGCACTTGAAATGAGACCTTTTCAATAACCAGCTCTATTCCATGCAAGGCACGGATTGGCTTGGCTCCCATCCAAGAGGGACTAGAAAAAAAAACTTAAAAAGTTGGCTCTCATACCATCGCTAACTGTACTGTCAAGCTCTCAAATCTGGGGGCTATTGGTACTGGCTTTTCATACACTCTCTCCAATCAGAAACAAATACCGGTATTGTACAACCGCCACCAGACACTAGAAGCCGCCTGAAACAGACGGTTTGCATGCCTCGCACACCGATCGCGCAAGCGCCTGTCTGCTCCTCCAAGTACTGGGAGAGCATTTCGCATTTCAATAGCTCCACCTGTCTGTCACAAAGCTATCCAGAGCTGCAAAATGAATCTGGCGGCAACGCTAACCTCACAACACATCCACCTTTCCGCCCACTCATGGCTTACGAGTTACAAGCATTCTCACAAGCCACAGCCCCAGATTGTATCGCAACCAACCCTATCATATTAAAACTAGCCTTGAGGTCCGGTGCCAGGCCTAGGAGGGCCATATTGCCCCGGACCTGCTGGCCCAGGCCCGGGGTACTGTTGGGGAGGGTAGGGTTGGTGTGGAGGTCCGGAATACTGCTGCTGTGGTGCACCTGATGGGAAACCTGGGTACTGTTGCGGACCGCCTGGAGGGCCACCTGGGTACTGCTGTTGAGCACCTGGAGGGGCACCTGAATATTGTTGCGGGCCACCTGGGTACTGCTGTGGGGCACCTGAGGGACCACCTGGGTACTGTTGTTGGGCACCTGAGGGACCACCTGGGTATGGGGGTGGAGGGTCCTGTTGTAGTGGATACTGGGAGGGGGGCGGCATGTATTGCTGTTGCTGATACTGCTGCTGCTGCTGCTGCTGCAGCTGTGGTTGCTGATAGTGTTGCTGCGGCTGGTAACCCATGGGAGGAGGGGGGTATGATCCCGGGTAACCCCCCTGGTGCTGCTGATAGGCCCCTGCGTGAAGGGGAGGGCCACCTGGGGGAGGCATACCTGGCGCAGGCTGGTAGGGCTGGGGAGGGTGCGAAGCAGGATAGGGGGCGAGGCCAGGGGGAGGGTAGGCATGCGGTGGGTAAGGGTACGGTGGAGCAGCAGATGCAGCAGCCGATGCATCACCACCGCCAGAAGCATTGCCACCCCCTCCCCCTCCCCCTCCCCCTCCCCCTCCTCCTCCTTCCCCCTCCCTGCCGCGAGTGTGAGCCCCCATCCTCTCAGGGTTCATAGACGGATACATCGAAGCAGACGTCGCCGGACCTACCGCCGAACCTGCCGCAGCCCGAGGCAACAACCCGAAGCTGCCACCAGCCGGACCCTCACCACTCCCCCCGGCCGCACCAACCGACCCCCCTCCGTCTCCCCCCTCTCCCCCCTGCGCCCCCTCACCTCCCCCTCCCCCATCCCCCCCACCCGCTCCCCCCGGCCCCTTCTCTCCCCCTTCCAGCAGCCGCTTCCCTCCCCCGTCCCCCCCTCCTTCCAAAGCCTCTGCTTTGGGCCTCCCCCAGTCCAGCTTGAGCCGAATCCCTTTGACTATGAGCTTGTTGGCCAGCCCCTCTGCCGCCTTCTCGGCATCCTCGCGCGTGGTGAAGGTGATGAAGGCACAGCTGCGCGGGGTGATGAGACGGATGGACTCTATCTCACCAAATGTATAAAACTTGTCCCTGCCATGCCATGCCATGCACACACGCGGAGAGGTTGGGGGCAGAAAGGGGGAGGGAGAAGATGGAGGGGAGACATGAAGGACAGGAGAGGAGTGGGAGGGAGTTGACTTTAGAGTCGACTCGACAGAAGATGGAGGGGAGACATGTGGGACAGGAGAGAAGGAGTGGGAGAGAGTAGGGAAGTAGAGCGGACGGGTTAAAGGGGCATAATGACAGGGGAAGGCAGAGCAGTAGGGGGGAGGGGGTAAAGGGCGTTTCATGGAGAATGGATAGGATGCGACAGATACAAGTCACAAGTGCAACGAAGAGAAGTGCAACGAAGAGAAGGTCTGACTCTGCGGCACACTCACTTGTGATCAGCGCCTCTGTGATGCCTGGCCACCCACCTAGAAAGAGCGTCTTGATACTCCTGTTCTCTAGTGGGAGGTGAAATGCACACCACACCGTAACCCACCATTCCCCACCCCACCCCACTCCACCCCACCCCACCCCACCCCACCCCACCCCACCCCACCTCACTCCACTGCGCTGCACCACTCACTTGAGATCTTCCTCTGTGATGCGTGAGTCCACCCCTCCAACAAAGAGCGTCTTGATGGTTGTGTCCTCCGGTGCTTCAAGTGACGGCATCTCTGCTGCCAGCCGCATCATCTTCTTTGCCACGGGGTCGTTCACGCTGCACGTGGGGAACAAAGTGGGGCGGAGTGGGGAGGGACAGGGAGATGGATGTGCGGCGAAGGGAGGGCATCACAAAATAGGAGTAAACGTGCTGTGCTCTTTGCTCCTTTTTTGGCATGTGCTCTTTGCTCCTTTTTTGGCATGTGCTCTTTGCTCCTTTTTTGGCATGTGCTCTTTGCTCCTTTTTTGGCATGTGCTCTTTGCTCCTTTTTTGGCATGTGCTCTTTGCTCCTTCTTTGGCATGTGCTCTTTGCTCCTTTTTTGGCATGTGCTCTTTGCTCCTTTTTTGGCATGTGCTCTTTGCTCCTTTTTTGGCACGTGCTATTTGCTCCTTTTTTGGCATGTGCTCTTTGCTCCTTTTTTGGCATGTGCTCTTTGCTCCTTTTTTGGCATGTGCTCTTTGCTCCTTTTTTGGCATGTGCTCTTTGCTCCTTTTTTGGCATGTGCTCTTTGCTCCTTTTTTGGCATGTGCTCTTTGCTCCTTTTTTGGCATGTGCTCTTTGCTCCTTTTTTGGCATGTGCTCTTTGCTCCTTTTTTGGCATGTGCTCTTTGCTCCTTTTTTGGCATGTGCTCTTTGCTCCTTCTTTGGCATGTGCTCTTTGCTCCTTTTTTGGCATGTGCTCTTTGCTCCTTTTTTGGCATGTGCTCTTTGCTCCTTTTTTGGCACGTGCTATTTGCTCCTTTTTTGGCATGTGCTCTTTGCTCCTTTTTTGGCATGTGCTCTTTGCTCCTTTTTTGGCATGTGCTCTTTGCTCCTTTTTTGGCATGTGCTCTTTGCTCCTTTTTTGGCATGTGCTCTTTGCTCCTTTTTTGGCATGTGCTCTTTGCTCCTTTTTTGGCATGTGCTCTTTGCTCCTTTTTTGGCATGTGCTCTTTGCTCCTTTTTTGGCATGTGCTCTTTGCTCCTTTTTTGGCATGTGCTCTTTGCTCCTTTTTTGGCATGTGCTCTTTGCTCCTTTTTTGGCATGTGCTCTTTGCTCCCAGCCCACCCCCTCCCCTCTTGCATCCCAGATCCACAGCGCCCCACCGCATCACACCTGACAGCATCCCCCTCCACCACAGTGCAATCCCCAGCTATATTCCCGTAAACGTACCCATAGTAGCGATCCTTGAAGTTCTGATGCGCCAGTTCCCCCGTGATGGGCATCTCGTGGCGGTAGGGGCACTCCGCCCCGCGCGTGCACTCCCCACGCACGAAGAACGAGCAGATGTGCGCGCGGTTGCGCTTGTAGTAGGGCGTCGTGCGCTGCAGCTTCAAAAGCAGGTCGTTCGGCGCGGCCTTTCCAAACGATGACTCGTAATCCAACCCTGCACGAGCCTGGGTGGGGGAAGGACGGGGAAAGAGGGGGGGGGGGGGAGGGGGGGGGGGGGGGGAAAGAGAGAAGTGCGTCAAAGGATGCGCGGTTGCGATTGTAATAGGGCGTCGTGCGCTGCAGCTTCAGCAGCAGGTCGTTCGGCGCGGCCTTGCCGAATGAGGACTCGCAGCCTAGCCCTGCACGACCCTGGAAGAGACGGGAAAGAAGAGGGGAGGGGTGGAAGGAGGGGGAGGGGAGGGAGGCGGGGGGGAGTGAGAGGGGGGGTAAAAAGGGGGAAAAAATCGATTTGCGAAGAGCCAGGGGGAGTTGCAGATAGAAAGGTGTGGGGGGGTGGGGGGAGAGGGGGGAGGGAGGAAGGGGGGTGGTGGGGGAGAGAGAGAAAGGGTAAGAACAGCAAGGAAATCCAAAGAGCAACGAGAGGGCAGCGAGAGGGCAGCGAGAGGGCAGCGAGAGCAGGGGCCATAGCAGCGGCGGCGACGGCCAGAGAAGCAACGGGAGCAGCAAGGCGAGAGCAGCAAGGCGAGAGCAGCAAGGCGAGAGCAGCAAGGCGAGAGCAGCAAGGCGAGAGCAGCAAGGCGAGAGCAGCAAGGCGAGAGCAGCAAGGCGAGAGCAGATGATCCACGGTTACCTTCCTGTCGTGCTCTTCAGCAAAGTACTCGCGGTTGACGTCGCTCTGCGGGATGGCGTCCGTGGTGTTGATGTTGAGCGCCGTGTCGCGCACCTGCACCGGCAGGCCGTATTCGAGGTCGAGCATGCACACCTGGAGGGAGAGAGAGTAGAGAAAGTAGTTGGGCGGAGAGGGGGGGGAAGGGAGGGGGGGGGGGGGGGGGGGGGGTGCGGGATGGCGTCCGTGGTGTTGATGTTCAGCGCCGTGTCGCGCACCTGCACCGGCAACCCGTACTCGAGATCCAGCATGCACACCTGGGAGAGGAGGGGGATGGGGAGAGATAGGGGTGTGGCGTAGGACGAGGCACACGATTCAAATCACATGGAATCAAATCAAACCTACTCAGAACAAATCCAATCAGATATAATCACGAGCATGGCGCTGACCTGGCAAACGTTCTTGAGCTTGCAGCACGTCTGGCAGATCTCGGTCTTCTTGTAGCGAGCGTCGCGGCCGGGCCGCCATCGGAAGACGGTGAAGGGGCGCGTGCAGATCTTGCACTCCTTGTCGAAGCTCGCCTTGGTCTGACGAGGCACAGACGGGGAAAACGAGACACACGGGGAAAATGAAGAACCATAAGGGGAGACCGCGAACTACTTTTGAGTTGCCATCGGAAGACGGTGAAGGGGCGCGTGCAGATCTTGCACTCCTTGTCGAAGCTCGCCTTGGTCTGACGACGCAACATACGAGAAACCGCGAATTAACAGCCGCGAGGTAATAGCCGCGTGTTAAACGCAGCGAGTTGAATGCAAGGAGGAGGAGCATGATAGAAAGAGAGAGTGGTATAGATAGTAGAAGAAACATCAGGATTTTCGGGAAGCTTGACTGGGAACGAAACTGCAAAACTATGACTTCTCCAGAGCTCCGGCCTACGTCAGAAACTAAGATAATTAGTGCAGCCTCCTAGAAATACCCCTTCTGGCGCTGTGTCCGCGTCAAACTCCATAAGCCAAGAACGACAAGAACGACATCTTTAGACAAGAGGAATTCCTTCGAGCCTCACCATGCGAACGTATGGATTCGCTCCAAGGCACGTCTCGCAGATGATCGGAAAATCGCTGCGCTCCCAGCCGTCCGCGTCCTCGTCTCGTAACAACCTATGAGCCATGGCTCTTAGCGAACGATAACACTAGGAACTCTGAAGCTGGATCGTCGGCTATCAAAACTGACGGAACGTAAACGGACGAGATAACAAGAGCCTACAGCTTTCAAGAAAACACAGTCGCGAAGAACGTATGGATCGGGCAACTAGGAGGAACGAAACTGCAGGCCAAGAAATGGAAGCTCAGAGTCAGGCAAGGCGAGATTGGGTTTTGAGTGAAGAGGCTAGAATCACGGATGGGAGGAGGTTTGTTTCGATATCTTGCTTGTGACGGCGACTGCACTCGCAAAGTGGATAGGAAATTTTAACCCGAATATTGCGATACTGTACTGCTGCAATGTTGTGACTCTCCAAACTGACTTGTGTTCTTGGCTCCAAGCACGATCGTTCTGCGTTTCGTTTTCATCAACCAACCAGGAAAACGACCTGCTGGTTCACCAGATCAGATGTTCAGCCAGATGTGTACAGTGCTGCATCGAGACAACCCGACCAGCCTCTACTGTATTTTCACCCACCCTAGCGAAGAGCGAATGCGCTGGCTATTGGCTTGCGCCGCCGCAGCCTAGCGAAGTCGATTGCAACTCGTTCCTTCTGTCGTTTACACAGGATTTCGGCATCACTTGGTGGGGAGCCGACATATCGCCACGAGTGGTTACCATCTAGACGAAGCACCGTCATGCAGGAGGCCGGTTGTTCGGCAGCGTGGGTTGGATACCCGCGTCGCTTGTCACTGTAGACTTTGCGCCTCGTTGACGACTCGCGTCGCATGAATCTCCAGTTCCCGAACGTCTCCACGTTGGGCTGTTCAAGATGCCTGGGGTCCTCCGCCGCTATCCATCTTCCCCCCATCCCACCCACACACGGTCTTTCTACAGTCCACCTCTCGAGCAGATATGCTTTTCCGCCAGACTGGACGTCGAGCCCGAGACGGGGAAAAGGGGCAAAGCAGCTTTGCCCTTCCACAACCGCACAATCGTCTCCCAAACTCAAGCCAGCACAATTCTTTCACCTCACACCTACCTCATTTTCACCAGCCACAACAACTATACAAGGTGGCTCACGCGCAAGCACTTCTTTTCCTGCACGTAAACCTCCACGTAGAGAGTGTCCCGTCCCGTCCCGTCCCACCATACTTCACAGATCCATTACTCCACCCTGATCGCAACGCGGCGTGGCTAGCCGCCATGGCTCCGTTCTGGGAATTCCGAGTTCACTCCGAGCCCAACCGGCACCCGCAGCTCGGCAGAAAGCCGCGGCCCAGCGCGCTTCTCATCCCCGAACCCATCGACCCTCCGCCCACCCCGCGCCCCTCCGCCTCCCATCCCCCACGCCCCTCCGCGCCGCTCCCTAAAATCCGCAACGAGCCTCTTTGGTTCAATCAGCCGCCGCCTTTCATCGCCAGCCAACCAGTAGCGCCCATCGCCGAGCCCGCCGTTTCGTCTTTTCCGCCGTCCCTCGCGCCGCCTCCCGCTCCGCGCCCTGCGCAGGGGCGGAAGCCGCGTCAACGCCCGCCGCGCCAGCCTAAGATCTGGGACCTCCTCCCAGAGCTTCCTCCCGCGCCGCGCCCGTATAAGTTCCGCCAACCCTCCGTCGGCGACGTCGCTTCCGCCCCGCTCGCACACCCTCACGGCCAGCCGTTTGCGTCGCCGTTCTGGCAGCCGGCTCCGCGGAACCCTAGCCGGCAGGTTTCAATCGGTTTCCCGACAGCGGGTGCTGGCGGTGTTATAGATCTGTCTACATGGGGCTCCGCCAAAACCGCAGCACGCGGGGTAGGGACAGTGCGGAGGGGGGAAAGGCCGGGGGAAATCCCGCAGATCCAGGTGAATTCAAGTGCGAGCGCAAATGCTCGGGAAAAGCGGGAAGCGCAGCAGCCCAGGAACGCAGCCGAATATAAATTCGTCCAGGTCTTCCAGGCTCGAGTTCCCCTTGTGTCGCAGTCGCGTGAAGGGTCGACAGCCGCGGCGCCAATCGCGGCGCGAGAGGCACCCAGCCGGTTGGCGCCCGATGCGGTCTGTGGAGCTGCCGCTTCTTCCAGCTCTCGCGTTGAGGTGCGTTCCGCCCGCATGTGTGTTCCGCCCATATGTGCTTCCCGCCCATATGTGCTTCCCGCCCATGTGTGCTTCCCGACCATGTGTGCTTCCCGACCATGTGTGCTTCCCGCCCATGTGTGCTTTCCGCCCATGTGTGCTCTTCGCTCGCCTTGTCTCGCTGTCTCGCATGAGTGTTTGTCAAACGGCAGAATCTTATGAGAGGGGATGTGGGAGGGAGGGAGTGTGGGGGCGGGAAGAGGGTACAGGGAAGTGTGGTTGGGAAGTCTGGTGGGGAAAAGGAAGGGTCCTGAGTGAAGAGAAGCTGGTCGGTGCGTTTATAACAAGATTTGGGTAACGCAGAGTACGAGAATTTGTCTGGGAACATAAATTGCGAATTTACCTTCATTTTGAACTTATTTTTAATACCCTACCTCACTTTCATGTGCCCTGTTACTCGGTGCAGGATTTCACACTCTCCTTTGCTGCACCCTCCTCAGAGGATCCCCCACGGGCCAGGCAGCACAGAGACTCGTGCACCTGCTCGGTGGACTACGCCTCTCTCTGGGGCTCATTACTCTCTGCTGCTGCAGAAGTTGCATTGGTGGTTGGAGACGTTGCTTCGCTCATCGCCCCTCAATCACCCACGCCTCTTACACTAACAAGCAGTGCCAGACTTCCTCCTGCATCTGTTATGGGTGCATCTGTCACCAGCATTGCTGCTCTAACTGGGAAGGGTGTAGGGCTGCTGCAGGATAGCAGTCCTTCGTCGGTCCTCCAAAATCCTGTGTCCGATACCTCATCGGAGCTTAGCCCTGTCACATGAAACGGTTTTCACTGCTCGTTTTTCAATGTGTAACTCAAATTTCCTGAATAAAGATGAAAATGAGTTTACAGTGGAACTTAGCACAGTTCTAGCCGCTTGAAATCAAGATGTTCAGATAGGAGCACACTGTGATTTTATATCGAGTATTGGGACCACGGAGGAAATTATCTAGGCCCAGTTCGGCAGGCATTCTCGCCATTATCGGCCATTTTAACGGGCCCCCAAAAAATGGCCCCTCGAAACAGCTGCGAAGTCAGCCTGTAGCCCCAGCGCAACTTCGAAAAAAATGGGTAGTGCGTTCGGTTGCCATTAAATGGGCCTACAAAAATGGCATCACCCGTGAAAGGTCCTGCGCGGAAGCCCGCATGCAGCTGCGCTGATGGAGCGCATAATCACTGTACACGCAGCCCGGGCAGCCCTGCAAACCAGTAATGGACGTCGAAAAAAATCGGGAGAGGTGTGATGATGTGGTGCAGATGGGTGATTTTCCTCTGGGCACGAGGAGGGGTGCGAAAAGCAGGGATTTGTTTTTTTTAGGGCAAGGTGTGATTGCCCCGAATCACTGATACCCCGCATGGTGCTGGGTCTCGAGGCCGCATGGTGCGGCGGATGAGAAAATGGACAGTTTGCCTGAGAAATATGGTTCGACGAAGATTCCTCTGACAGAAAATGCCTGCGCTAAAAGGGGTGTTCGGCTGGCATTCCATTCTCGTCAGGCTCGGTGGTGAACCGCTTATATCGAACCTATATAACCTTTCGCGCGCTTATCAAAGAAGGTTCCAGGGTGGTCGGTTTACTGTAGCCCATACGGGGAAACCGTTTTTTTAATGCCTGCCGAACTGGGCCCTACGGACGTAACTGGTCCGTCGCTTGTTGGTTTGACCCGTTATAAGTACTGTAGGTGATCTGGCTTGTGGACATTGCATAAACACCTCTCTCGACACGCCACGTGTCCTCAATATTCCTCGCTGGAGCGCCCCCCCAGCTTGGGCTAGCCAAGTGACACTTCCTCCAAAAAAGCTGCCCAGCTTCGAGGGGTGCCAAACCGGGCCTGGCTTAGCCCGAGCCATCAGTGTGGCTCTTGCAAACCAGCCTTACCTCGCAAAACCAGTTCTCCATCTTGGTCGGTCAAGAGGCGCCGTGAAGCTCGGAGCAGCAGTTTGTTGACAAAGCAGAACGTCGGGCAGACCAGAGCAAAACCTCTAGCGTAACCCCGAATCGCAGATCTCCGAACCATTCCGAGCCGCAAATTCACACCAAACCCGAGGCAAAAGTGATCGCACCGCCTCCGTGAAAGCAGGTCCCATGTCAATCAAGATTTACAGCACGCACCCTCCCACACTCTCCCCCTCGCACAAACAAAATTTCCTTCCCATCCATTCCAGCCTTAGTTTTGCCCTGCTCTTTCACTCGTACAGAGCAGCACATTCAGCACCAGTTTCTCAGGGTTCATTATTCAATACTTGTTGTCGATCGATGGTTCCCATCATCATGGCCCCATCCTGGAGCTCCGTCGTGGAACAGATTGCCGTAGTTTCCCATTACGAACAGCAGCAGGACGACACTCGATCCAGCCAGCCCCACAATGAGCTCGTTCTGATTCCAAGCCACGAACACACACAGCATGCGCATAACCCCGCGCCCCCTATCGGCCGCAAGCCGCGTCCCGCCGTTCTGCTGATTCCCGCAGTCCTTCCTCCGCCAGCCTCCCCTCTTCCGCTCCCGCCGGCCCCTCACCGGCGCCCCGACCAAATACAGGCGCGCGCGCTGCAGCAGTCGGGGGCCCTGCATGTGCGTCAGGAGGGACCGCCCAGGCGCGCGCGGCAGCTCAAGATCTGGGATCTGCAACCTGAGCTCCCGCCGGGCCCTCATCTGCGCCATGACCGCGCGCTTGAGCAACTCCGCAATATCCCGCCGGAGCTGCCGCCGGCCTCCCAACCGGACGCGGGATTGCCCGAGGCGCCGCCTAGTGACGGCGCGTGCTGTGGCGGCGCGCCTGTGAGAAGCGGCTTGTGCTCCCCGAATGGCGACGGGCTGTGCGGCGCCGTCCATTGCGCTCGGTGCGACTTGCTCAGTCGGCCGAAGCGATGGCCGTCGATCGGCTTCCCCGTGCGGCGATCCGAGCAACTTGCGCAGCAAGCGGAACAAGCGGCGCACCCCGCGCGGCGAATCAACGTGTTAGCAGTACCTAGCTGCAGTTGCCCTGAGACTCGACCCGCGGGGAAAATGGCCCCCGCATACCCCACAGGTTCCGCTGATCCGGTTATCCCCGCATATCCCACAGTCTCCTCAGAGCCTCTCCGCCAGCAGCGGCCTTCAGTCCCGCATGCTTTGCCCATTGACGAGCCTGCGCTCTTCCGCGCGCGGACCGATGAGTTTCCGCCGCCCCCGTGCGCCTTCACCTCTACTCCCGCGGACGTGCCTCTCGAAACGCCCCGCGCTTCCCGAAACATGGCGGAACCATGGGGCGGAAAGACGGAGCTGGCGCAGGCACTGGGCAGCAGAGGGCTAGCGGAATCGGCGGGGGCTGCGCTCGTGGGGGGAGACTGGCGGAAGCTTCCTGCGCCTGGGTGGTACCGGCGGCGGGATTGGGGGATTGGGAACGAACGGAATGCAATCCGCGGGGTGTCTGTGCGCGCATCGTCTGGAGCCGTTGCGCCGCTTCCTGTTCCCCCAACCGCGCAGCATGCTGCCCCAATGATGAGCCATGCTCCGCCCACAGGGGAGCGTGCTGTACAAAGCAGCAGGAGCTCTATAACGCGGATGCAATCCGTCCCCACCGAGCCCGAGCGAACCGGTGACGAATGCAGAGCAGTTGAAGCAGATCCGCGCAGCAAATCCCACCGCGCCACGTGTCTCCCCATCAACGGTGAAGCCATCCAGATCCACGTGGCATCTCTCTGGCTGACAGTACTGAGTCAGCTGGATTTTCTGGGGGAGGTGTCTACTGCGTTCCTGGGGGAGCTTGTACCTGGTGGACGTAACAGGCAGGAGCGGGGGGAGGAGTGGAGCGGAGCGCAGGCAGGAAGCAGCATTGACGGGCTGTCTCATAACCATGAGCGTGAGCAAGCCGTGGGGGCCGCAGCAGCACTTCTGACGGGGGGAAGCGATTGGGAGAGACTGGCTAATGCTGCTGTGGATGGGCGAAGGGGTGGAGCTACTGCTACCGCTCGCCTGATGGCTGACCCTCCCATTCTCTCCCCGGACATGCGCTGCTGTGATTTCAGTGGCTTTAACGTGAGTGGCTTCAATACGGGAGGCCCTACTGATGCCGGCACGTGTGGCACTACTACCGTAGATCTGGGAGATCTCGCATCTCCTCCCTTCAATATGGGTTCTCTTCAACCTCTCCCCATGGCGTCCTCCTTGCACCTGGGGGAGGTGTTACCTGCAACGCCTCCTGGGCAAGGCACCACCACTAAGAACCGCACTGAACCAGGCCGACCGTACCTGCGTGTCCGATCCACTCTATCAGGCCAGATGAACGACCAGGACACGTGTCGCAAGGGGACTGGCCACAGCCCTGCATCCATCCTGGAGCCCACACTTTCCCTGGGGTATTGAGACTTCTTTTGAGTCTACTCAAATGGGTCCAGCCCAGCCCACACTCTCCCTTGGGTGTTGAGACTTCTTTTGAGAATCTGAGACGTCTCAAGACCAGCCCAGCCCACACTCTCCCTCGGGTATTGAGAATCTGAGACGTCTCAAGACTGATGACTCTGGCTGTGACTCTCGCCCTGTGCTGATGTGGGCCAACCCACTCTCTCACTTGGGTATTAGAAGCTCACTTCTCCATTAGAATATAGGGTAACTCCTTGTTAACGACAATATGGTAACTTCTTTATAGCTACCGTATTATAGGATACTCTTCTAGAACACGCATAACATATTTTGTTGAAGTCCCCAAATGCTTTGTTTGATCTGCTACCGGTACCAGTACTTGTGCTGAATGTGGTGTTACGGATGTTGACATAACTAACAGTGGGCTGTGGTCCTGTGGAATAACCAGACTAGACAGAAATTTTGATTGGCATTAATACGGTAAGCAACACATAAAACAAAGAAAAACACAGGGTCCTGATTAGGGCATGAGGGTTGGCATACCTACACTAGGTGGACTAGAATGCCATACCCTCATGCCCTAATCACACCCTCCTGCACAACTACTGAATCCAGTCCTCCTGACCAAAGCCCCTTCAACCAGGCCCAGACATACAAATAACTACAGGCTAATCCCCCAATGAGTTGTGAAGCCTACAAGTCTGGCGGGCTCAGGGGTAACACAGCAGACGCTGCTAGATCTGCCATTTAGACCGCTGACTGGAGCAGTCCCTGCCGATTACCTGCATTATCTCAAAATCATGTCATCATCGCAGCTTTTATTCATCCGCTGTCATTGTCCTCTTCTTCTTCTTCCTCTCCTCCCCTACTCTCATTCTTCCTCCACTCAACCCCCCCCGTACTCTCAATCCTCCTCATCCTCGTCATCATCAAACCCAATATACTCCAATACACCGGCAGGGCTCCCGAATCGCCCCGATCCAACCTTTCCCCGCTGCGCCGCATTCCCATCCCCACCCTCTCCCGCCCCCTGCTCTTCCTCCTCCTCGGATATTAACCGCCAAAACCATGAGGACTTTGAGGGCTTATCAGAGGAAGCATCGGAGAAGATACCAAGGACGGCTGTCAGGAGTTCGTTCAGGTCAGCAGCGCATATAGGCGCTTCCCTGTATGCCCTGAACTGCGTTCTCCTCTGCTGCATTCGCTCCCGCTGCGTTTTCTCCTGCTGCATGCGCCTCTGCTCCATTTCGCGCGCCTCACAGGCGAGCAGCACTCGCCCCTGAAGCGCGATTCCCGCCGCTTGACGCGCGATTTCGGGAGCCTGGGGAGTCACAGCCCACCTGCTGGCCTCTGGCTCGCTATGCGATGCTTCGTTATAGGGAACCTCACCACCGTCTGCTGTCTCGTTACAAGCTACCCCGCTGCTGGCAAATCGAGCCGAGACGGACAAACCTCCTGACTTATTATGCTCGTCATTCTTCCAGAAGTGTCCATTCCCTGCTGCTTCTTGAACAGCGTTGAACGCCTTGATGTCGTTGAATTTTCCGGCTGAGTCGACTGCAGCTTCGCGGAAGTTAGCTGGAAGGTTTCCCAGCACCTTCGGCACGCCAATGGCGCGAAACCCTTGCCGTGGACTAGTGATCCCAGTCCAAGGTTTCGACGAGCTCTCGTTCTGGAGATCCGCAGTCTCCTTGAGAGCAGAACTGTCCTGGAGCGCAGTCTGATTAACACACAGCGATCGGTTTCGCACGTGAAGCGCATAACACTTGACAGAGCGGTCGCTAGGGCGACGCGGAAAGCCAGGCGTCCGCTCCGGCCAAAAACCACTGCTGCTTTTTTCCGGCGCTTTCGGCGTCGGCAGCAGATCCCAGATCTTCGGCTGCCGCTGCCGGCGGGGCTGGCCGGCAGCGGGAGCGGCGGGCTGGACGGGGAGTGGCGCGCGGGGCTGGTGGAAAAGAGGGTGCGGCTTGGGGCCGAGGGGCGGGGGTATTATTTCGGGGATTTGCAGCATTGGCGGGCGGGGTTTGCGGCCGATGGTCGGGGGGGGATTGTGGAGCGCGGGAGTGGAAAACGGAGGAGGGACGTCGAGGAAGCTACATAAGTCTGACAGCGGCATGGCGACGAGCTGATTGCGTGCGTCTAAAATCTCGGGAGTGAGAAAACAAAATTATCGTCTGGCAAGTACTAGGGCCTCCTTTCGGAGGTTTATAGTCGGGATAAGAAATAAAACGGGTGAGGCGCGGGACTGCGTCAATTAAATTGTGCAAGCAGGAAAACTCTGGAGAAGCGAGTGGAGAGTGACACAGCCAGACAAGATTGGCGGCGGCCTTTATGGCTACTACTTCTGTGATCTTGGTGAGGACGTGAGGTGAAAGTTGAAGCGAGGAGAAAAGATGGCAGGGAAAGCTGAGGTGGTGTGGGAGGAAGGAAGGAAGCGGTTGGAGAGGAGAGGATACACAGGTCTGGCTGGCTGGAAAGTGCATTGATTGGTTGAAGTTGTGGTTCGGCTCGAAGCAGCTTCTTTCTGTTTCGTCCGAAACAGACAAGGGATTCATCGCACCGCGGTCCATGTTTCTGTTGCGCAGCGTGCTCTTCGGTCAACGCGAACGTGGCGCCTTGTGAAAGGAACTTTCGGTTCACTCCACGTCCCCGCTGGATGACTCGCTGCTGCGACGGGTCACGACGAGGCTGAGGTATGGTGGTGGGTGGTTTGGGTAAGTCAAAATAGGTCGAGCCAAAGCAGGCTAGATGAGGAGGTGTGATCGGGTATGGGAAGGCTGGGGTGGTGCGGTTCGAACCGTGTGGTGCCGAACCAAGAGGCGCGGTTGTGCCACCGCACCACAAGTTCCTCACCGACCACCTCCATTCGCCAGAGGTGGCCTGTCTGCCACCAGAGAGATTGCCGAACCTGTCGGCCACCGTCACTGGCGCCACCGCGATTGTACGCGCTGCTACCATATCTCACTTAGCGATACCATTCACAGGGTTTCGTCCACCAGAACACAAGTCACACATGCCTTGTAATATCTGAACACCATCTGTGAGTTGTGCTGTACCGACTAGTTTGAAGACTAATAACGAGCACATTCCTTCCCCTCGAAATTGCAGTGCGCCTCGCAGAAGAAAATGTCGAGGCGCGTCCATTGGTGGAGAGGTGAAGCTGTACAGAAATTAGCAAGCCCGCCTCCTTGGACCCGTTCCCGAATCCCCCGACACTGGATGAAAGCTCGGGCCCCATCCTCTTGCAAGCAACGGAACTTCGTAACTCGTTTCCACCGAGAATAGATTGTTCTGGCCTAGCTCACTAACAAGACACGCGTCCCCGATATATTCGAAACAACGATGTTATGCTATTGTTTACACACTCTACATCCTAGAAATCCGTTTGCACCATGGGAAGCCATAGAAGAGGCTTCATCGGTTTTCACTTGTCCCTTCGCGCTGCGGTCCACTTATTCCTTCTGGCAGCGGTCGCAGTCATCGCGTTGCTTGAATGGTCCTGCAAAAGTCGGGACTTCGCTGTGTCGCTTTTCAATCTCCTAAGCCTCTCAAATGTCACAGTATCAGAGGAAATCACAGCCGGATTTCCCGCTGACAGAGGCGAGGAACCGCGGAGAGATTTCTTCGGCGATTCGTATCATCATGGCGAGTTGTGTGCTGGTGGTCCGGGGATCACGGTGGATATGACGGGAAGGACTCTTCTAGGTCGAACCAGATCCATGGTTCCGATGATGATATGGTACTCTCCACCTCTGAGGCTAGCGCTATTACCGCTCAGAGCGATGAAAACCGAGGCCGCGGCGGCGTGGTGATTTTCGGACCAGGATGTCGCCATTGCGTCGCTGGGCGACTGTGCACGTTCGAGATCGCCGTGCGACGGCCTGCGACATGGACGGTGCCGCCAGGCATGGCTTTCAAGCACGAGCTGGCGGTGCAGCTGGAGGGACCGTCGCTCGTGCGAGCTGACGTCACGACTGAGAGAGGCGACGTCAGCAGGTGGCGTGTGACATACCGCGTATGGGACGCTGGGTTATACGAGTGAGTGAGCTCCTCCCGCCTATAAAAGAAGGACCCCTTTTCCAGCGTGAATCATAAGCCGATTGCGTGGCTATTAACGAACCTTTTTCACCAGACCCTTTCCTTCCCTGCTCCTTCTCTTTCCTTGTGACAACAGAGTGTTTGTTCGGTCTGGATGTGGCTCTCTAATCTATTCCGCTTCCTTCGCCCACGCGCATGAGCACGACATGGCGCAATGGACCCTCGCCGTCCGTCCCAGTGGCAAGCCCGTGGCCACTCTTCCAGCAGCCCGGGTTCCGCAGGAACCTTCCCATCAACTTTCCGAAGCAGCGAGGGGGAAAGCCGTGGTGGATGGAGCGTTGGGTTCTGCCTGTGACCACGGCGCCTCTCACGGCCGCTGGCTGTTGGATTTCAGCACTGGAAATTACAGGTAAGACTGATAGCATAGGGTAAGACTGATAGTATGGACACGACTCCATCGCGAAAAAGGGAAGCTGCGAAATTTGGCCTTCGAAGGTTTTTCTGCGTATACCTTGCGTACAAGTTGCGCGAAGTATCCAAAAACCAATGCACGAAAATCGCAACATTCGGTAAACCAGTTGCTTTTCCGTCAACTTTTCCGTATCAGTCGGTGTCGCACGTTCTAGAGAGATTCCATGCGGTTTTACAGAGTGACGAGGGCAGTGTAATGTAACCACAAATTTAACGAAACAAAACGAACCCACGAAGTCCAGCGAGGTGCAACAACTCCATACATTGTTTTCGTTCAGTATCCAATCTGAACCCAACCACCCAACCCAACCCACAAATGCTACCTGGTTTCTTCACATGGGGTGACGTGTGAGCCAAAGAATCGTTGTGAACCAATGATTGTTGTGCTGTGACGAGTCAATCAATATGCACCTTCCGATACTTACACGTCAGCACACCCAACCCAACAAACGTCCACCCAATATCCCCTCACTTTCAACATGGGAATCTTTATCACATGATTCCCCTCCACACCTGTACCTCCCGTACTACCCACACCTACCTCATAGTCCCCCCTTGTTGATGTCCAGTGCAACGTTCAGCATACGCGCACTCTAGGTTCCTTAGACTAGCAACTACGCTATACACAAGATGCCCAACCCCTGCACGCGAAATTGCCTTGCACGTTCCAGAAACCTTGCACACGAAGGTTTTTTCCCGGGCAGTTGCACCCACGTTACAAGCACGTCAACCAATACGAACCACAGAAACAGAAGAGACCGAAGTCAAACAGTCAACGGTGAGTTACAAAATTTTGCTATAAGCCCTTTTTGCCCGACGCGAATTGACGAAACCTCCACGAAATGCATGAATCACTTAAGCGCCCCCTTCACAAGGCAACCTTGGGTTAGTCAAACGGACATCGTGTGTACATGTTTCAAGCCCAGATGCGCCCTATGTTATTGAACGTCATCACTACGATGCGTGCGCAAAGATTGTTGTTTAGAGCTTTGTCTTGGCGCATACACATCGTTGTGAACAAAGCTCTCTGTTTGATATGTACCGTCTATTTATCCCTCTAACCTCCCATTCCCCTTCGCAGATCGAATGTCCAACGCCTTTGTGCGGACGACATGCGTGCAACTGGCGACGCAAAAGCGCCTATTCGGCAAGTGTCTCGATGAGAACGGTATATGTATTGCTGGTGAGGTATAAAAGTTTACTACGACATGTTTTGGCCCACATGGTTTCGCCTTATGTCATATGTTTTCTGTCACAAATCAGGTTACCTTGGTTCTTACAATTCTACGTTAATTCAGTTTGAGACTAGCACTGTGCAGCATCTCGTCGCCCTGCGTAACCGTCGTAGGTGGAGCCGCCGCAACCGACTATGCGAAGTCTAAGTACGATGCATTTGGCGGTTCCATTGGAGGAAGCTTAAAGTCGTGCGTAGCGTCAACATTATGTGTGCAGGTTTCACATATGTGAACACTAACCTTTTTTCTTGCAGGAGTATAAATGTCGACAATCACATTTTGCGTCATTTGCAGGGCGTACCTGCTACTGCAGGCTTATCGTCAACGATTAAACACACTTTGTATAGTTTCCAACACTACTACATACTCCTTTTGTATTAACCCCAAAGGTGAGCGCTAGAAACGCAATTCTGGTTTGTTGACATGTTTCTGTCAGAATGAGGAATGGATGATGCATTGATGTTGGTTGGGGTACATATAGCTAACCCTAAGTTTTGTACCCCCTAAGACAAACCTCACTATAGGCTACAACATTTGACACACCCCCATAGCCTAAGTGAGGGGTGTCTAGCAGAACCAAACGAGTACGGTCACAAGACCAGTCCAAGAAACGAAGCTCAGGGTGGATCACAACGTCACTACACAGTCTGAGCACAAACAACAGTGGCCACAAGGCCAGTCCAAGAAGTAACAGAGGTATATAGAAAGCAAAGTAAACAGTACACTCAAGCCTAAGCAACACGAGAACCAGTGTCAACAAGGCCTAACTGCACACAACACCTCTGGTGGTCACAAGGCGGAAGCGCCTTGGTGAAGATGTCTGCAGTGTTGGCCTCGGACTCCACAAACTCAAAGCGAGCCTGTCCACGCCTCTGCAACTCTCGCAGAAGAAAGTACCTGACGTGAATGTGCTTCACTCTGCTCTCCAGTCGTGGCTCTCGACAAAGGAGAATAGACGCCTTGTTGTCAGTGAACAAGGTCGGTGCAGAGCTCGGCCGCTCACCAAGGTCGGTGAGCAAGAAGGTCAACCAACGCAGCTCCTGTGCCGCCATGGCACCAGCGTAGATCTCAGCCTCAGCTGTAGAGGTCGAGACCGAAGAGGAGCGCGTGGACCGCCAGGAAACAGCTCCAGAACCCAGGCTGAAACAGTACCCCTGAGTAGACCTGTGAGTCTCAGCGTCGTCAGCGTAAGAGGAGTCACAGTGACCAGTAAGTACGACAGACTGCTGCCCTCCAAGAACTAGCCCCACGCCTGACGTCGTCGCTA